TCCCCCTTTTCCATTTAAGGGGTTTAAAAATTTTGCCCCCCCCCCCCCCCCCCCCCCCCCCCATTCAAATGGAGAACAGCGATGCAGTTTATTTGGCTGTGAATGAAATCTGAATATTGAGTTATGTTTGCAAAGACTTCAATTTAGATATCTAGATTAAATATGTGGATTAGAGGAAGAGAACTGTACCTAACTAATAAGGATCATGCAACAAAACAAGACAAATCTAATTCTGTTCTTGCACTTTGATTCTTTTTTCTTGAAGATTCCATGTTAAACCTCCACAAGCTTAAAATTTGTGTTAATACACATAATTTAGATGCTCTTATAACTAACTTCAGATTAAGTAAAAATGCGAGAGAATGCTAGAAAGAATGCATGCATGGAAAAGAAAAGTTTTAGAGACATAGACAGGAACTGGTCTTTTCCTCTTAATGAAGAAATATAATATAACAGAGAGAGGGAAACTACAGGGAGAGATTTCTAAGTAACTCCCTCTTAACTTTATATTGAATATCTTCTGAGTGGGCTTTATGATGCCTTTGTTCGTGCTTCTTTTTTATTTTTTTGCTTCTTTCATTTAGTGATTCTATTTATAAATTTCAGTGATTCAAAGTGTATTCTCCTTTGTGTAACTTTCTAATATGGCGGAACATGATTCTACAGGGTTATATAAATTTTGGAGTGCCTTTAGAAAAAGAGAAGGTAGAAAACTTCATCAAGCACGACTTGAAACTTTTTACAGAGACGAAGTTTGAAGAAACTTCTGGACTTCCTGGTGCCGATTCAGATGATCCAGGGAAGCAAAAGATTTCAAAGACTTCCATCAAGGAAAACAATGATGGTGCATTTGCTGATGGAAACCTGGAAGGGAAAACTATAACAGGACATGAACTTCTCAATCTCGAGGCTTTAGATTCATCTGCCCTTTGTGTCCCTGAAGGATGCCTTCCTGATGATGGTCAAGGAGTCCATTCTCTCGACACTATACCTCTCAAAGAAACTGTTAGTTCAGATTGTTTGGTTTCAATTCCTTCCTGCGAAGATGTAAATGGCAAAACAGTTCCTGCTGTCGATCCAGATGTACTTCCTTCCGATGAAGCAGTGTGTGCTATACCCACAACGCTCCCCAAAGGCAGCTCTGATATTCTGTCGGAGTCCATGGACTGTGCATATACTCCTACACTATATGATTCTGGACCAAGAAGGAACATAATAGTTGTAGGAGCTGGTCCTGCTGGTTTGACTGCTGCTCGCCATTTGCAACGCCAAGGTTTCAATGTTATAGTGCTTGAGGCTAGGAGCAGAATAGGAGGTCGTGTTTTTACTGATCGATCATCTTTAAGTGTTCCCGTAGATCTTGGAGCTAGCATCATCACTGGTGTGGAGGCAGATGTGGCCACTGAAAGAAGACCTGATCCTTCGTCGTTGATTTGTGCTCAGTTGGGACTCGAGTTGACTGTATTGAACAGTGACTGTCCGCTATATGATACTGTGACTGGTCAGAAAGTCCCTGCAGATCTGGATGAAGCATTGGAATCAGAATATAATAGCCTACTTGATGACATGGAACTGCTAGTTGTTGAGAAGGGGGAACGTGCCATGAAAATGTCTCTTGAAGAAGGTTTAGAATACGGTCTTAGAAGGCGGCGTATGGCCAATTCTCCGCTACATGACATGGAAATAATATCCGGTAAATCTGAAGACACTCCTGTTGCTGTTGAAAGGTCTTCCATGGATGATGAAACCTCCAAAGATCAGGTTTCTAAATCAGAGGGCCTGAGTCCTCTTGAAAGGAGAGTCATGGATTGGCATTTCGCCCACTTAGAGTATGGTTGTGCGGCGTTGCTGCAAGAAGTCTCACTACCAAACTGGAATCAGGATGACGTATACGGAGGATTTGGTGGAGCTCATTGTATGATTAAAGGAGGTTACAGTGCTGTTGTTGAATCTCTTGGAGAAGGAATCTGCGTTCACTTCGACCATGTCGTCACAGATATTTCATATTGCACAAATGATTGTGAGGCAGACAGTAAACTGCATAACAAGGTTAAAGTTTCAATATCAAACGGCAAGGAGTTCTCAGGAGATGCAGTCCTGGTCACAGTGCCACTTGGGTGCCTGAAAGCGGAGAGTATCAAATTTTCACCACCATTGCCCGAATGGAAATATTCATCCATCAAGAGGCTTGGGTTTGGCGTTCTAAATAAGTTAGTCCTGGAATTTTCTGAAGTATTTTGGGATGAAACCATTGATTATTTTGGTGCTACTGCTGAAGATAGAGATCAGCGGGGCCGGTGCTTTATGTTCTGGAATGTCAAGAAAACAGTTGGGGCGCCTGTTCTTATCGCCTTGGTTGTTGGTAAGGCTGCAATAGATGGCCAAAGTATTAGCTCTTCAGATCATGTGAGTCATGCATTGCTTATTCTCCGGAAACTATTTGGGGAAGAGAAGGTTTCTGATCCCGTTGCATCTTTAGTGACCGACTGGGGAAACGACCCTTATAGTTATGGTGCTTACTCATATGTTGCCGTGGGGTCGTCTGGAGAAGATTATGATATTCTGGGAAGGCCTGTAGATAACTGTTTATTTTTTGCTGGTGAAGCGACATGCAAGGAGCATCCTGACACTGTTGGTGGTGCAATGATGAGTGGGCTTCGAGAGGCCGTACGCATTATTGATATATTCAATACAGGAACTGATTACACCGCAGAAGTGGAGGCCATGGAGGCTGCAAAAAGACATTTGGATATTGAAAGGAGTGAAGTAAAGGATATTATCAGGAGACTTGATGCTGTAGACTTCTCAAAAATTTTGTACAAGAAGTCTTTGGATGGGTCCCAGATTTCCAGTTGGGGCTCGATGCTAAAGGATATGTTTTTCACTGCAAAAACCACAGCTGGGAGATTGCATCTAGCTAAAGAGTTGCTAAACCTTCCTGTTGGAGTTTTGAAAACCATTGCTAGCACTAAAGAAGGGCTCAGCACCCTTAACTCATGGATTCTGGTAAGTCCTCTATTTTTTTGTCTTTTCAACTCCAATGTTGGTTTGTTACACTAGATCTTTAATATAGATTGATTGTATTAATTTTATTATGTTATGTATGACAGGATTCCATGGGGAAGGATGGAACCCAGCTCTTGCGCCATTGCGTCCGACTACTTGTACTTGTTTCAAATGATTTACTTGCAGTTCGTTTATCAGGTAGTTGCACTCATATTTTCTGCCACCCTTCCCCGTTCTTTTTCTTCTCTCTTTTACTCCTCTTAGTTTTGAGTGTATGCTGTCTCCATAACATATGTCCATCTAAATGAAAAATCCTGGAGTGATTTTATTTTTTCATGAATTTCTTATCCAGTGATTTTAAGAATAAGGACAAGCTTTGAAATGTAACTTATTGTTTATCACTTTAATTGGAGCTGTAACATATGTTTCATGACGTAGGAAGTTTTTTGTTTGTATGATTGTCACCTTTAACTTCATATTTGCTGCGTACTTTACTTTAGGAATCACAATAATTTTTCATTTTTCATTAATTCACTTAGGTGTTGGAAAAACGGTAAAGGAGAAAGTCTGTGTACATACCAGTCGTGATATACGAGCGATAGCTAGCCAGCTTGTGAGCGTTTGGGTTGAACTTTTTCGCAAGGAAAAGGCTTCTAAAAGGGGACTTAAACTTCTTAGGCAGTCAGCTTCTCTGGATTTGAAGAGCAAATCGCCACCAGTTTTTGCAAAACCACCACTGCGCACTAAGAAAGTGGTTGAGGAGCCTGTTGAATCGGTAAATGCCATGGAGGAGGACAATCGTGAAATTCCCATGTCTGAAGAAGAAAAGGCTGCCTTCGCTGCTGCAGAAGCAGCCCGTGCTGCGGCCATTGCTGCTGCCAAGGTTTGCTTGTGTTTCTTTCTACTTCATATTTTGATATTGTCAAACATTTTATATGTTACATTCAATTTAAGGTTTAATTTGTTATGAGGTTCTCAGAAATGCTGACTTTAGTCACGTTGATTGATGATTCCCTGGAACTCTTTGACCTCATAAAAGATTACACACTTTCTGTCTATGATATGCAAATAGTTATGACATCTTTTTAAGCTTAGGAATGGAAAGTTCTTTTTGGTTCCATACTTGACTGAACTCCCAGTTTCCGCTTGTTTTGTGCACAACGCGTAAAACTTGAGCAATGAGAAATGACCCTTTTACTCATTTATGATGTTGGCCAACATTTGTTTTCCAGCTCTATGATAAAAAAGGATTTGTTCTTCTAGCCTGCTTTCTTTGTGACCTTTTCAGATCTGTATATGAATTTTCTATACAATCAAGCCATTATTTTGGACGCTTCTCTCTCCTTGCTTCTTTTCCTGCAGAAATCCTGATTGAGGCAAATCACTCATGTCATATCCGCCTGTAGTTTTTCTTTCAAACCAGATGTTGCCCCCTCTTTACATGTTTATTTTTTCGTTTGATTGGATATCAGATTTGGCATATCGATATACTGAGTTTATCTATGTATTTTATGTTTGTGGTGGATTTGGATATGGTGGTGGTGGTGGGGGGGGGGGGGGGGGGAAAAATAAAGTACCAAGTTGGGTTCCAAAAAACCCCCCCTTTGTTGGGCCCCCGACCACTTCCCCTGTATGTTTTTATACTGTAGGCATATGCTTCTTCTGGTGCCATCCGTAATTCATCACTGCAGCCTCCCAAGATTCTCTCATTTCACAAATTTGCCATGCGTGAACAGTATGCCCATATGGATGAGCCTGACATTAGAAAAAACTGGTCTGGCGCTGCACTAGGAAGGCAAGATTGTTTGTCTGAAATTGATTCCAGAAACTGCAGGGTGAGAGATTGGTCAGTTGATTTCTCAGCCACTGGTGTCAACCTGGAGAGTTCAAAAATGTCGATTGATAATCGTTCACAGCGGAGTCATTCTAATGAGATTGCTAATCAGTTGAACATCAGAGAGCATTCTGGAGAAAGTGTAGCTGTAGATAGCAGTTTATTGACAAAAGCATGGGTTGATAGTGCTGGTAGCATAGGGATAAAAGATTACAATGCTATTGAAAGATGGCAATGTCAAGCAGCAGCTGCTAGTTCGGGCTTCTCTCATGGGACAATGCACTTAACAGATGAGGAGGATTCAAACATGAGTTCACAATCGCGCAAGTGGAAACACGAGGCACCAGCTAATGAGAGCTCTGCCTCACAAGTGACAACAAATAAAGAAACAAAAGGCAATCAACTTAGAGGAACAGAGCATATTAAACAGTCAGTTGTGGATTATGTGGCTTCATTACTCATGCCTCTTTATAAAGCAAGGAAAATTGATAGGGAAGGTTACAAGTCAATAATGAAGAAAACTGCTACCAAGGTTATATCCTTACTATTCTTTATCTATCCTCTACATCTACCGGTCTATCTGTTTAGCCGCTACATCTTATCTGGATTGTTTCATATTCTATTTCAGGTAATGGAGCAAACAACCGATTCCGAGAAATCAATGGCTGTTTTTGAGTTTCTTGATTACAAACGCAAGAACAAGGTCAGATCATCTGCTCTAATTACTTGAGTTGTCTAAGAATATGTTTATCTGCTTTTCAGTATTATTTTTTTTCGTTTGTTCTGTTACTTGGTTTGAATTATCTTCTTCCTTTGAATGTCTCTCGGACATGACGAGAGTGGGGCTCATATGAGCACTGGTTGTCTTTTAGTTGTGTTTTTTTTTTTTGTATTAAAAGCATTTTATTAGTCTGAGATCTAACAATGAAATGATAACAAGGGACTGTGTTTTTACATCATTATCACCATGATTAATATATTAAATATAATCATATAATTTGTTAAGTTGTGTGGGAGCTATCTTATGCGCATGGCCATGAGTATCATATCAGTACATGCTTACGTTGGTGTGGCTTTCTAGCTCTTTCTTCTGTGTCTTTCTAGTTCGTTCTTCTGTGTGGTATAATTATTTTAAACAGAATCTAGAAATGCAAGATCCTCCGTTCTACATAAAGAAAAATAAAAAATGACATGCTTAACTTCAAGGTTGGGATGTTCGGTATCATAACATATTTGTTTTACTTCACTATTTCATGCTATGGCGAGTTTTATGTAAATTAACATGGCATTTCTGGTGTTTGCTCATTTCATTTTGTGCCCCAGTTCATTAGTCCACATTCTTTGACTATTCTCCTCTCTCCCTTGACTTGTTGGATAGCAGTTTTTTTTTTTTTTTTTTTTTTATATATAAAGTTTTTACGAGATCCCTCACTTCATTTTGTGTGGACAGATTCGAGCATTTGTAGACATGCTGATTGAGAGGCATATGGCAACGAAGACCAATGCCAAATCAGGATCTTCTGGAAAGGATTAACTGGTGCTCCTGTACACAAGATTGAAAGGGTTGACTTGTTAAATTATGGTCCAATTAACTTAAGATTTCTGATCACTCCAAAGTCTGTGGTGAATCCTACTTCTTTACTTCAAAAGTTGGGAGTAGCTATCATTCTCAGTGCAGATATGACTATATCATGACAACTTAGCAAATGGCTCAAAGTTTGGACATGCTTGCCATGCAGATCTATTTATTTTCCGCCCTCCATTTGCCAAATAGTCCTGTTAATATGGGCTGCTTTTTGAAATTTGTTCCTTAAAATTAAAACTTGTATCTTTAGGGTAGAAAGAGCCGATCCCTAACTTTTTTCTCCCAGACTCAGAAGAGAAATGATTTTCTGAACTTTTTGAATTGTTGTACAGTTTAGAATTGTTTCTTGGAAACAAATATACAGGATTCTCCTTACTAGCATTTCCTGCTCTTCTCTTCTCTAATTTTATTTTTATTTGTCTTCCAAAATAAATAATATATATATATATATATATATATATATATATATATATATATATATATAAACACACACAGACACACAAATAATTTGTTGTTTGGAAGAGCAAGGTCTATGCATTTCCTTCGTTCTGTCAAACCTTGTTTTCTAATTATGAGCTTGTTGGCTGCCTTTAATGCTCTTTATATCTTTAGTCAGCAAGATACGTGTCATCTTGGAGGAGATGCGTATGAAGCTTTCTCCTCTTTTTCCAAAGGTTGTATGTCTCAAAGGTAATGTGACTGATACAACTGTCAATCATGGGAATTTATTTTTTAAGCGTTCGATGCTACGTGGCTTACTTTGATTTGATGATGACCATTTTACATATACTTTTTGACATTATATACTCAACAAATGGCTTTAGCATTTATTGCTGGTTTTCCTTTATTCTCGAGAGGCCTTCATTTACTTGCATGTGTTTAAGATGTGGGCAGTCTATGATCTTTTCTGATTTAAGTATATATAGTAGGTGCTGATTTCTCACTTTTCAAATAATTGTAGTTCATGTTAATATTAGCATGGAGGAATGGTCCTCTCCCGAGCAGCCCAGACCCCGAACCGATTAAAGATAGAGTAGGTAAGGGTAAATTTCTTGAATCTCGAAGGTTCTTGGTGCTAAACTTTTACCTAAGGATATAGCAGATATAGTTTACGAGTATGCTATTCCTATGCAGATAGTCCTATTTAATTTTCTACTGTTTTTACATTTTTTCACAGCTGGATGTATCGAGATTCCTTTCTGTCCTCTTCTGTATGAGCTATAGCCTTTAATGCCTAACACATCCTTTGGATTTTTCGACAGGTGGACATAATATGGTGAACTTGCTTTACCAATTACAGGAATCTTTCGTCGTTACAATCTATGGGGGCAAGTTCTTCTGCCTTGGTTCATGATTTCTCTTGGCGATACAGTTCATCCAAGGGTATGCAATTGAGATTCAAGAATCTGGTAAATTGCTCATTTCTTCGTTTAAGTCCGTGCTGGATTTCTTGAATTTGTGCTTTGAACTTCAGGAAATTTTTGAAATTAAAAGTTTGGGAAATTAAATTCCGCTGGAAATGCAGCCATTCCTTGAACGGATTTTGTAGTCCCTAATAAAACTTTTGGCACGATATTTTGTAGTTTCATCAAATCCTCTGGATGTGAGATATGTATTGTATGTAAAGTTGGCTATTTTCTATGTTTGCAGGAAGTAAATAGCTGGTTTGGTGATGAGCCTCATTGAAAACCTTTACCGGGTGGTTTCTTACGTACAGAAAGGACCGAAGCCTGAAGGCGAAAAAAGATGTATTGTACAAATACAGTTGAAGCATGAAGTGAAAGAAGCCGGATGTAAATGCAGTTTTGTCCTTTGTTAATTTATTTTTTCCGGTGGGCGAGTGAGGGCTGTGTAAATTTAAGTGATGGCCATTTCGAGATTGTCTTATTGGTAGAGATTGCAGATCTAGCACCTAACTACTTCCATTGTGATCTGTGTGTATTAGAAAAAGGTTATTTTACTCCGAAATATATGTTAGTTATTACAAGAAAATATTTGTTTTCGTGCATATAGTGTTGTATGATACGAGCAGGAAAGGCCGTATTTACTTGACATGGTCTTGTCTTTTCTCTCTACTGCCCGAAATCAACGCGTATCATTTATTGTTAGTAATTTGAAGAAATGAAAGAGAAACAAGAAAGTGTCTTTCAAGAACTTTAATTTGCATTTGAACTCATAGTTGTTATTTAGAGTTAAAGATTTAAATTTCATTGTAGAGTAAATTTATTCAATCAAACTCAGATAAGACTTATCGAGACCCTATACTTGATGAACTTCACATCGTATTATCTGGGTCAATATTCTTTCGGGGCTCGATTGAAGGCTATACGTTCGTATGTTCCCTTTACGATGTCCCCAAAATAAGGGGTTAATCGGAAAGCCTCCGTGCATTTTGACGCCATCAATCATCACCGGCCCCCTTGCCTAAAACAATTATTCCCTTTGAATTTATTATTATAAATTTCAACTTTGTAATGCTTTGCTAAAATATTCAGATGTAAAATATATTATCAAATAAATAAATAAATAAAAAATATAAAAAATAAAATAACGAGTGGTCAAGAAAAGGGTAAAAATGTAATTTCATGGGAATCATATTAACGGACAATCCTTCCACTATTGTGACAGTCGTGAGATATATATAAATAAATAATAAAAGGCCTCAATTCATCCAACTACTCAACTCCTTCTTCACCACTCTCTCTCTCTCTATCTCTCTCTCTCTACCACTTCTCGCCTCAGATCCGATCTTCTCAGAAATCCAAATCGATCAAACATGTCGTCAACCTTCAGCGGCGATGAGACGGCGCCCTTCTTTGGTTTCCTCGGCGCCGCCGCGGCACTCGTCTTCTCCTGTAAGCCGCGCGTCCTCTCGTTCCACCGCCCCTGTTTTTTTTTTTTTGTTTTTGTTTTTTTTAGATCTAAGGATGTTGGCGCGGTAATTTGATTTGACTCTGTTTTTTTTTGTTAGGTATGGGAGCGGCGTACGGCACGGCGAAGAGCGGCGTCGGCGTGGCGTCCATGGGTGTGATGAGGCCGGAGCTGGTGATGAAATCCATCGTACCCGTGGTTATGGCTGGTGTGTAGGGTATTTATGGCCTGATTATTGCTGTTATTATTAGTACCGGTATTAACCCTAAGGCCAAGTCTTACTACCTCTTCGATGGATACGCTCACCTTTCTTCTGGACTCTCTTGTGGTCTCGCCGGCCTTGCTGCCGGTATGGCCATCGGAATCGTCGGAGATGCCGGTGTCAGGTAACTATTTTTATTTTATAATTTTTTTTCATAGATCGGCATTAATTTAATTTTGGATGGTTAATCATTAAGTAATCTATTGATTTTTGTATTGGTTCTTATTAGTATGTAATTGTTGAGTTGCTGATTGATGTGAAGTTTTTGTTGCTAATTGCTTGCTCGTTTGGATTGTGGGGATGTCGAATTGTGGCTTGTTACCGAATCCTATAAGAAATTGTTGGTTTGGTGTTCGTTGTCTGATAAATTGTGTGTTTTATTATTCTTTTGGTAACTTGAATGTTTTAATTTGACTTTTTGTTTCCCTTGTAAATCTTTTATTTCTAAGTTATTTCGATTTTCCATAGAAACTTCAATAGATTGTAGGTTCTACTGGTCGATTGTGAGGGTATTGATCTATGCCTGCTCGTCTTATGTGCTTATGTGTTTTCTTCAGTGGGAGTCCAATCTATCAATTTATTCAAATATATTCCCAAAAAGTGCAAACAAAATTTGATTTTCCGAAACCTTAAATATGGGGGGTTCTCGTGAAGCGAGAATGGCAACTGTATAGAATTTAGTAAACTTAGGCCTCGTTTGGTCGGGGAGATTAGCCATGATTAACTAAATAATGGGACTTTGTTTGATGTTTGGTATCCCCAATAACTTACCGGGTCGACCCGCAAATATTATGTTATCATGCCTTATCTTGCCTCTTAGGCATGTTTTTTATTAGATCTTCCAAGGTCCAATGATACAATTGGGTTTCATTCGATTATTCAATTTTATCTTGCCTAATCTAATCTTGGCAACCAAACGAGGCATTAGTTGATCGTGCTATTATGTTCATTATAGGTTTTGTTTCTAATGGAACTGGATTGCTTCTTTATTTATTGCCTGTTCTTTTGTCATAATTCATAACCGAGTTTCTAATAATATTATTTCTTATTAACTGATCTTATTATTTCTTATTACAGAGCCAACGCACAACAGCCGAAGCTCTTCGTGGGTATGATTCTTATCCTTATTTTCGCTGAAGCCTTGGCTCTATACGGTCTCATTGTAGGCATCATCCTTTCTTCTCGTGCCGGTCAGTCTAGAGCTGACTAGAGAGAGGATCACACATCTCTCAAGAATTGTTGCAGTTTCTTGCTATTTATTAAGTAAGAATTTTTTATTTTCACGTTCCCCCCTGTCTAGCATAGTAGTATTGTCTGTGGCGGTGTTTTTTAGGTTCGAGCGTGTTATATTTGTGCGTGTGGCAATTGCTTGGCCTGAAGAATTTGAGCATTTGATGTCCGTGGCGGTAGATTGTAGATGAGAAAAATTGATTTTTCCCTGAATAATGTTTTTTCTTTCGTATTTGCCTGTGGTGCTTTATTTTGCAAGAAACCTATTTGATCTGTGTAAAACAATAGCATTGTATTATTTTGGTGAAACTCCAATCGATTTTTTCTTTTTTAATATTTAAACTCCAATAATTATGGTGGTTCCATTTTCAGCATTAGGCCTTATCGAAGGGAAGGTAAGGTGTGACTCTCTTAACTATTGGTTTAGTAGGTAATTTTCCTGCTTGCAATGTGAGTATGCAGAATTGTGAAGATTTTATGTCGTCGGGACAATTGTTGTTTATCCGGACGAGTAAAACTGATTCGATCATATTTTTTCGACAACATTGTCTCCTTAATTTTCTTTCAAGGGAAAAGTTGTTAATAGTCCGTCGTAGAACTTAAATGAGGAGAAGATACTCTAATATCTATCTTAGCTAAAAGTTCATCCACTTAATTTTTATTTGCTGAAGGTCTCTTAATTACTTTTCGAAAATGCTTATGGCTTAGTATTAACGTGATTAAGCTTCTATCCGAAAGAACTCAACTTTGTTGTTGCAGTAAATCGAAGTAGGAGAGTCGAGTTCAATTATGTGAATTCGATTATCCTTAAAATTTAAAGTTCTATGATAAATTATTCGTATTTTAAACCATTGAAAACTTCAAATTTTCAATCTTTAGTAGGATTTTTCTATTTTTCATCTCTTCATATCTATGTAGCTCGAAAACTTCAACTTCCAACATTTCTGCGTTTCGAACATGTTTTCTGTCCAACACTCAAGAAAACTTGTCGGACACCTTATGAGTTATTTTGTAATTTTTAAAAAAGTTAATGACATATTTGAATAACAAACTTTCAAATATTATTTCTGCTCCCTGATTATTTACATGATTTAATGATCAATTGTCAATTACAAATTGATAGTTGAAAGTAAAATTTATAAATAAATAAATAATTATATATAAATAAAGATTATGCATGGTTATATAACATATTTATAAATATATCCCTGTGTTTTTAATATTTACACGATTCTACCACGCCCCCATTTTTGGGACATACTATGTTTCCCGTTTTCCTCGTATTGATTTTTTTGTGTCCGTGCTACACAGCTCCACACACAAACTAACAGAGAAATTAGAGAGGTATGATAGTGAATTTATGAAATTTGAGATTGAATTTTTATAACTGAGTATCTTATCAAACTATATGTCATAAACTGATATATATTTCAACACATGTTAAACAGGTTTTCAATTTCCTCAAAAAAGAAACCAAAAAAAAAAAACAGGTTTTCAATGAAAGAGAAAACAGTAAAAAAAAAAAAAAAAGGGTTTATTAGGGAAAACCCCCTTGTTCATATTTTCTAATGAGGTAGATCCAATTTTTTTTCCCCTTTTTGAGATACACCCAATTTTGCCAACTTGGCAAAATATATTATATAATTTCCCTTTAATACCCCTGTTTTATTATTAAACGGCATTTATTTCCTTTAATACGTGATTTGAGATTTGCTGATACGTTGCCTAAAATCACGGAATAAATTTCGTGAGATCATTGGCCGTTATATCAAATCGTGTACAATATTTTTTGAAGATTCTCTTCATCGTTCCAGCGGGTTTTATCGTCATTGAAGATTTCTGCACCGTCGTGGAAATAGGATCGATTTTTGAGCGTTTGTTGTTGGACGTTGTTAAGCGGGTATGAATGCGTTATTCGTTTTTTTTTTTGCTCAATATCCATGATTGTCGTGTACGGTGGTTAGAAATTTTTAAGAGTTGTGTTGATACTTGATTCTATTAAGTAGAACGTTTTTTAACAAAATTATTCCGTCATATATATCGTTTTTCTTGGCCGATGATGTTTGTTTGGAAGAGGATTGACAGAGTTAGAAGAGGATGGTTCACGCAGATCGGACCAGAGTTGTTTTATATGAGTTTCGTAGTTGGTTTATGCAATAATCGGAATAATTGTCCGCTTTGGTCGAGTTCATGTTTTTATCCCGATCGATAGTTGGTTTATTTGTTTATAACAGTCGATTTAAGTGTGCTGGGTAGTACATTAAAATATAGTTCGTAGTCTTTTTTAATTTAGCGTATGAATTTTGCATTTTAAGTTTATTTTTGATGATATTAATGTATTATCATTCAAATGTATCTGCAGTCTATTTAATTATTTTTTAGTATTCTGCATTTTTAATTTTGTTTCATGATTTTAGGTTTTTTCGATGGCGAATTTCGTACGGATTTTGTTGAGGTTTGGTGGGTTGATTGCTATAAAGAGGTGTTTACGATGTAATGGCTCGGTAACTTCGGTTAAGTGTTAAACCGTTGTAATACAGTAGTATACTATTATGAATACCGTATGATACTACCATTATCATTTTATTATACTATTATGAGATTATTAATGTACTAGAGCTTTTTAACTCGACATATTGGTTTGATTGTGTTATGATGTGTTTTATGTATTTTATCAAAACCCTTGATTGAAATTATGAGATTATTAATGTACTATTTTATTGGTTATGTGGAATACTTTACGTTGGTGTTGTTCTCAATGTTCTTGTCATTTCAGTGGTATATTGTTTGTAACACAATTTCATATCAATATTATAACCGTCATATACTATCACAGCAGATTAATGTACTATATTGAAATTATTAATATACTATGTGGTTGAATAATACGGGATCCATAGTCTATTAACGAGATCCATAGTCGAATTAGATCAATAAGATAGTACCCTAATTGATTAGTATAACAAACATATTATTCAGTTTCCATATATATTATTATTTTTTCATATATATTATTATTTACCCTAATCGTTTTCATATAATAAGGAAAATTACCCTAATTGATTAGTATTTCAAACAAACATATTATTCAGTTTCCATATATATTATTATTTTTTCGAATAGTCAATTAATTAAACCCATAGTCGAATTAGATACATGGGATAGTTTATTAAAAAATATGAGACAGTCTATTAATTTTAAAAAGGTAAAGTAACGGGATTTGTGGGATTTGATTGAGGGTAATTATGTAATTACGAAAAGTTTGGGCTTTCATCAAAATGGCAAATTTAAATTTGGGTCTACCCCTATTATTTGAATGTTTAAGGGGTTATATCTAATAGACCCAAAAAAAAAAAGAATAGAATAGTAATAACGGCAGGATATACATACATTGATAATCTCGTACTTGATTGGACTTTTCTGCAAATCAAAATCAATTTCCAAAACCCTAGACAGTTAAACTCTTCAATCGCATGAGCAGTGGTTTGCGGAGGTGGTCCAAATCATCAAGGATTCTAGTATCGAAAATGGCGGAGGAAATCAGCTCGTCCGCAGCCAACACCGCCGCAGCTCCGACGAAGAGCCGCTCATTTCTGCCCTCTGTTTTGCGATGGATACCTACCTCAACCGACCACATCATCGCCGCCGAAAAACGCCTCCTCTCTCTTGTCAAGTAAGTAACTTCAATTTTGGGGGAAAAAAAGATAAAACTCTAATTTTTTTTTTTTTTTTTTTTTTTTAATTCTGGGATTACTTTGCGCAGGACTCCGTACGAGCAAGAGCAGGTGAATATCGGGTCGGGTCCACCTGGTTCGAAAATCCGGTGGTTTAGGTCGACGAGCAATGAGCCTAGGTTTATCAATACGGTGTCGTTTGATAGCAAAGAGGGGTCTCCTACGCTTGTGATGGTCCATGGATATGGTGCTTCTCAAGGATTCTTCTTCCGCAATTTCGATGCGCTTGCTAATCGTTTTAAAGTGGTAGCCATTGATCAACTTGGGTAACACTGATTTCCCTTTCCCTGCTGCAACATTTATCAGCACCGATCAAAAAAATAAAATTAAAATCGTCGAAAAGTTTATAACTATATTAGAACAGAACACAGGATTTTGGAAAAACCGAGCCTATTGAATAATTGAAAGAACACGTATGAGTTGAAAAACACAATTCATCTAGTTAGTTTCTTCACCGTTAGTCTTTGCATTTTTTTCAATCGGAAGGAGATAGAAATGATTCATAGAGGAGAAGAATTAATGAATACGGACACTTTTGGTAGTGGACTCATATTTAAATCGACATCTTTATGCAGTTGGGGAGGATCAAGTAGGCCCGACTTCACATGTAAAAGCACCGGAGGTTAGTTGTCTTAGTATATCTCTCTCTAATCTACTCAAGTTTCAAACTGCATTTCAGAATGAACACTATCAGTTCTTTTAATGAATATTTTCTGTACGTTACAGAAACTGAGGCATGGTTCATTGATTCGTTTGAGGAATGGCGTAAGTCGAAAAATCTCACTAACTTCATTCTACTTGGACATTCTTTCGGAGGATACGTTGCTGCAAAATACGCGCTCAAGGTAGATCATTATTAATTGTTCGTTGGCATATAAAAACTATTACTAATGAAAAATCTGTTGGTGCAAGTGATTTTTTTTCCACCATTGATATAATTTATAACGGCTTCTGCAGCATCCTGAGCATGTTCAACACTTGGTTTTAGTTGGACCGGCTGGATTCACTCCAGAAGTAGAGCACAAGTCTGAGTGGCTTACTCAATTTAGATCAACGTGGAAAGGTGCCGTTCTAAATCATCTATGGGAGTCTAATTTTACTCCTCAGAAGATAATAAGGTGCTTATTATTATTATTATCCTTGAACTCGAATAATTCATAAGCTAGACCTTCGATAAGCTCTATAGTTTTTCGGTTCTTGAGACTGCTTTTGTTTATTTTACTCTTTAAATTGTCTTGCATGTACCATAGTTCTCCATTTCTTTGGAGTTTCCGATTGTGATGAGCAGATGTTTTTCTTTTTTTTTCAAAGACTTACATGTGTAAATGTGTGCTTATTGTGTCCTTTTTCTGAATGCATTACACACATGCCAATTTCCAATTCTTATTAGAAACATTTTTTCAGTTGGAACACAATACAAATTGAGATTGAGAGTAGATAATTACACTTTAATTAATGTTAGGAATTTTCACTCATTGGACCATGGAATTTGGTCTTATTAATTTCTCTAGTTTTAAGCACCAATATTTTAAGATTTTGACCCTCTCATGGCCAACTTTCATTCCTTTACGTGATGGAGATTCTTTACTATAGAACTTATTAGTGTTTCATTTAGAATTGTGCTCTCTAATCGTGTTTCTCTTTGAGTGACCTGCTTTGCTTTCTATTAAATGAAGGGGTCTAGGTCCTTGGGGTCCCGACTTGGTTCGTAAATATACAGGTGCTAGATTCGGGTCATATTCAGAAGGAAGTATGTTGTCCGAGGATGAATCAAGATTGCTTACCGGTAGAATTTATTTAAGTTTTTTTTTTTTTTTTTTTCCAGCCCTCACTAATTAATAATATGATCTGATTTAAATATTTTTCTTCTATTGAAGATTATGTGTATCATACTCTTGTGGCTAAAGCCAGTGGAGAGTTGTGCTTGAAATATATATTCTCGTTTGGAGCCTTTGCTCGGATGCCCCTATTGCACTGGTGAGCTGTTCTCATGCTAACCTAAAGAAATCCTTAATTTATTCTTTATCTTTTTTATTCCGGAATATATGAGAATATTCATACTCTTTATCTGGACGTTCCCCCTACATGTATGCATCAGACTGTGATTTTGAATGATTTAAGTGGTTCATTTATTACGGCTGAAACAATGGATAAATTTTCGTTAATAGCAGCATTGAACAAATCAATTTCAGGAAATATATATCTTAAGGGATTTAGAAATGTTAATATTGCATGGTGGCAAGCTTATCTTTCAATCCCCCCTATAAATTCTAGTCCAAATCAATTCACGAAGATTGAATTACTTTAAAAACATAGGTGATCTGACTGGTACTATGATTTCACCGTAATTGAAATCCATATGCTATTAGCTTTGTCCATCAAAACGAATAAATAAAGAACAAGTTGGTTTCATTTTTTCCTAAAATAGCTCTATTACTTTGTTTAATTTTATCTCCGTCTATTTATTAGATCATTCATTTATAGCTCCGCTTCCTATCTTTAACTCCAATTATAAATTATAACATCATTGTACAAAATTGGTCGATAGGATATATTTAATTTAAAAAAAAAAAATCTGGTCAGGTTTCTTCTTTCTTGGCTCGTAAGACGGAAATTAAGAGATATTTTCACTTTGTAATGATCTTGTTACTATTGGATGCAGTGCCCCTGAATGGAAGGTACCGACAACGTTCATATACGGTTTCCAAGATTGGATGAATTACCAAGGAGCACAAGAAGCTCGCAAGAAAATGAACGTTCCGTGTGAGATTATTAGGGTTCCTCAGGTTTTTCTCTCGCTTTATATTAGCCCCAAAGTACAATATATACCAATCGTCATTGCAATATTGATTTATTTAGTAGAAAAATAAAAAATAAAATAAAGTATAATTCGGAATTCCTCGACTATATCTGCAGGCTGGTCATTTCGTATTTATAGATAACCCTTCTGCTTTCCACTCGGCTGTGTTTTACGCTTGCCGTAAGTTTATATCACCCGATCAAAACAGTAACACTCTCCCGAAGGGCCTGCAATCTGTTTAAAGGGAAGTAAGTATATATATTTGTATTATATTTTATTTTCAATCTTATACTTCGATAGCAAATATCAATTCTGTTACACTTGGTAGCAATTCATTTCATAAGTGGCATGTATTTCCCCTTATCTGAAAAATAGGAATATGATTTGATCCATTTCGTATACTGGAGCTACACTCAACTTGTGGTCGTCTAGAAGTTTGTATAGTAGGTTCCTGATTATTTAGATGTATTTTTTTCCGGTGAAATTCTTTCTGGGAAAAAATTGCTTGGATTAAAATCATTATCTTCACAAGTATTTTGTTTGGGAGTTGTAAATTCATATTTGTTGTTCATCCCTCCATATTCAGTTTCTTTAAAAACTGGACTCGATGTTTTGATGGCAAAAATCGCCAAAGATTGTAAGTCGGAGTGGAAATTGGAACGGAATTTCCGTATTCCGTCAATTCTGATCCGAATATTTTCTTTTTTACTTTGAACAAGTTTCTTTATTCTGAGTTCCGAAAGTTCCGATTTCCATTTCTTCCGATTTTTTTTTTCTGGAAGTAATTGAAATGCATATTAGATTCTGATTTTCAATGCATTTTAATTTCCCAAATATTTCCGAAAATTCAATTTTTTTTCTTTTATTTTATTTTTCTAAAATTCGCTAATGATATAAATATTATTATGTATTTTGTATTATAGGTGACTAAAAATTTTGAAATTCCAAATCCCGCCGATTCCAATCCGGAAATTTCCGATTTTGGAACGAGTTTTCTCATTCCTATTTCCCCAATTCCGATTTCCAATTTTTCCAATTTTTTAACAATGTTTTTTTTTCGATTTTTTTTTGAAAGTTTTCCGAAACGGCCGTTCCGTTGAATGCCACCTAGCTGCGAGTGTTGATCTGTGGGTCGTTTTTCTTCAATTAAGTTCGGTTTTCACACGACGAAAAATATCGACAATACTTCGAATAAACCTATTTCAAAATATCCTTTTTCTACTACATTATTTATATTCTTTCTACACATGTCCCATAGTTAAATGACCATTCTGCCCCTCTCAGCATCATCAATAATTATAATTTGATGGTAAAATTGTAGAGTAAGATATTTATGAGTGGGGGTAAGATTGAGAAGTAAAATTGAGCTGGCATTGAATGATGAGTCGCTCTCCGTGTGAGTGTACATCTCATTATTTCTGATTACAAAGTCACGAGCCTTTCTTTTGCTCTTTATTGTGTACTGTTGTACATTTCATATTTTTCTTCATATATAATAACTTTTTTTGTTTTGTTTTTTGTTTTTTGTTGCTTTTAATGCATATATATGTCATATGTGTGTGTGTGTGTGTGATGAGAGCAATACTTAGGCCAAAGGAAATTACATGACAAAAATTGATTGTGATTGGTTACCCTCTTGTTCGTGTGCGATTTATAAATGTGTTTGAAGAATTTTGGGAATTGAAAATTGGTTTCAAATGTTTTTTGGGAGGGAAATTTGGTGACTTTTATCCATTTCAAATGTCAGACTAATATTAAATTTTAGACATGACTGCTGCTCAAAACTCATAGATCGCATGTGACAAACTCGACTTAGCGACCTTTTGTAACATGATTCGAGTCTGTGTCAATTGATACAAACTCATTTGTTACAGCTGTTAGGCCATCCCTTGTGGGATGTTTTTTTTAATCATTTAACTAAGATGTAATTTAGAAAGTTTTAAAACTAATAAAAGGTTCAAGAACTTTAATTAACTAAATCTTGCTATTTGTGGAAGTAAGGAGAATTTTGGTAAAATTGGCTTTTTAGATTCGACATGAAAAGTTTGCATGTAATTTATAAAAATATTCATTCACTTTAGAGTTAAATACAAATTGCACCCTTGTACCAGTGTCGCATATACTCTCTTATATTATAAAATGCGATGAAGTGTCTCCTACCGTTGAACTATGTTAGAGAAGCCGTCCATTTGTAAAGTTGACAATTCATTACACTAGATGTTGGACAATTTCAAACAAAAATATCTCTATGATTGTATATAAAAAGTGGTTGTTTTGATTTTGGGAAGGAGAAGATATTTTTCCTTTTTTTTTTTCCTTTTTTTTTTAGTGAGTAATTTATATTTAATATATAGAATTTAAGCGAAGGGATGAATTTACCCCTGCAAATCTCACGCGCAACGTACATGATTTAACATTCCGTCTAATTGTCTGAAAATTGAGTTTGGGGGTACCGTGCAACGAGTTTAGGTATATTCGTGTAAATGTTTTCGCAAAATAGCCATTAATTTAGGGGCAAAGTGCTTTTGACTCTAAAAAAATAAAGCCAAAAGATGTATCTTCATAATAACTATTTAAAAATAAATAAAATATAAATAAAATATACAACTCCCTAGAATTACTCCCCAATACTCTCAAACATGTCCCTAGCGACCGGCATCAATGCTTCAAACTAAACGACAATAACCTGGGCCCCACGTGACCGGTCAACTGATAAATAATAATAATCTCCATTAATAATCCAAACCGAACTAATAAGTAACAAGGGAGCCACGAATCTCAGCCAATCAGAAAAGATTCATGGGTCCCACACACACTCCGATAAAGACTGTCTTTCCCTCCAGGTTTTCAGATTTCCCTGCACACTGTAACGGCTACTTTCTTCTTCCTTCTCAAATTTCCTTTTTTTTCCCAATAAAAAATTAGCATCCCCAATAATATATATAAACCATGTGCCCTCCTGTCTGGGATTATTTATTTTCTGAAAATATTTATTTATTACCAATTAGGCAAACATTATTACTAATATTTAAATTATAGTTATTGCTCCACTTTATTTGCATTGGTTGGAAATGAATGCATAACTGTTGGGGCATTGAATTCTCCGTCACTGTACACTTGGCGTGAAAACACAATACTACTATGGGTCGAGTCGAACGCATGTTTGTTTGAATTTTTTATCGAGCTTTTCAAAGTTGTTACGAGCTTAGTATTTATAAGTAATCGAGTCGAGCTCGACCGAGATTAAAAGTTGTGTTTGAGCTTACACATTTTAGCAAAAGAAATCAACCGATCGAGCTCGAACTCGTACGGGATTTCAATGGTTATCGAACCGATCGTAACTCGAGATCATTTCAATTGCATGCATGAAAATGTAACAGAAAGAAGAAGAAGAAAATTGATTTAGATTGAAAGCAAATAGAGACAATAAAGAAAGACAATCAAAGAACTACAGAATCTTTCTACATCAGATTCTAATACATGCAAAAGAATACATGAGAACTACACAAATGAAAGAATTCTTGACAAGAGTTCCAATTTTTTTTTAATTCTTTTTTCAGGTGGGTGAAGGAAGAGTGGTGGGGTCCGCCGAAGAAGGAATCTCCGGTCCCAACCGACAACCCTCGAGCATGAAAACCACGTCAGCCATGGAAGGCCTCTCCATAGGATCCGGCATCGTGCAAAGCAATCCAACTTTCACTCCCAACAAAAACTCTTCCCACTCGGTCGACTCAGGATCGAGCTCCAGCAATCCAGGCTCGAGCAATTCCGAAACTTGCCCTCTCTGCAGCTGCCTCTTCACCCACTTCACAATATCCTCGTCCTCCGTGAACATCACCGGTTTCTTCCCCGTCAGAATCTCCAGCACCACAATCCCAAAACTATACACGTCACCCTCCTTCGTTGGTTGACCGGTCAATGCCGCCTCCGGCGCCACATACCCGACAGTCCCCACGGGAACGGCCGAAGTCGAAGCAGCTTCCGCCTGAGTTGCCACCGTCACTTTATCCAATCCGAAATCCGATAAATGGGCTTCGAAATCGGCATCGAATAGAATATTCTGCGGCTTCACATCACCATGTACAATCGGGATCGAATGCAAGAATGCTAGACCTCGAGCTACGCCTAGGGCGATGAGGTGGCGCATCGGCCAGTTCAGCACGTGACCTTCTTGATGGGAGGCTTCTTGGAGGAGGGTTCCTAGGTTTCCGTTCGGCATGTAGTCGTACACAACGAGGCGCATATCAGGAGGTGGGCCCGAGTAGTAGCCACGCAGGACAGTCAAATTGCGGTGTTTGACTTTGCCGAGGGATTCGGCTTCCTTCCGGAAGGTGTTCTCTTCTATCGAAGTGTCGGGAAGGCGGCGGATGGCGAGTACCATTCCGTCGGCGTACGTGGCTTTGAATAGTAAACCGTATTTCCCTCTGCTAAGCACGTTTTCCTCGTCGAATTGCCTTGTGGCTTCTAGGGTTTCCGCGTACGTGATCTTGTTGTTGAACATGATTAGTTTTGGGGCTCCATTTTCGCCGCTTCCACGTGTTGTTTGAGAACCGGGACTCGGGCTTCTCTTCTTCTCTCCCATTGCACCTGCTCTCAGCTTCTTGCGCCATCTTAGGAGACTGTATATGTACCCACAGCAGCACAGTAACAGCAGTAAACCACCTGCTGCAGCCACAGCTATGAAGAGAATAAGTCTCTTTCTCTTACGCCTGTTTGCGGTTTTGCAGTTCTTCTTCAGTGGCTTTCCGCATAGATTCCTGTTCATGGCGTACACCGAGGGGTCGCTGAATCGTGAAGCCAAAGCATCTGGAATCTCACCATCAAGATTGTTGGCCGATAAATTCAAGTGCTGCAGAGCAGGGATTGAGGAAAGATTTGCTGGAATTGCACTGGTTAGATCATTTGACGAGAGATCCAGTTCTGTTAACGCTGTTAGCTTCGATATTGTGTCTGGAATGCTGCCTGATAAATGGTTTGAATCCAATAACAGAGAGACCAACGATGAACAGTTAGTAATGCTTTCTGGGATTGCACCGGTTAGACTGTTCTTCCCCAAGTCAAGCCTCTGTAGACGAGACAAGTAGGAAAAATCGGCAGGAATTTGGCCCGTCAATTCGTTTTCTCTGAGCTCTAAACTTTCAAGACCAGTACAATTGCTCAACTCCACGGGAATAGAACCACTCACTCGATTCCGCGATAGTGAAAGAACAGACAATGACCTGAGGAATCCATAAGTAGTTGGAATCCCACCGGTTAAAGCATTTGACGAAAGATTGAGGTACTGCAAACCGGACAAGCTGCTAAAACCTTCAGGCACATCTCCAGACAACGTATTCTCCTCCAAAGCCACCACCTGCAAACTTGGCAATCCGAAGAGCTCAAGGGGCAACTCTCCCGACAAGTTTTGCTTACTCAAATCGAGAGTTGTTAGCCTCAAAAGATTCCCTATGCCCGACGGAATCACCCCCGAAAAGCCACAACCGCTCATGTTCAGAACCTTTAGCCCTTTCAACTCTCTGATATTGACCAGCACTTGATCGGAGAATTTGTTGTTGCTCAGATTTAGAGTGCTCAGATTGCTAAGCCTCATCAGCTCTTCAGGCACAGTCCCACTCAGCTTATTATCGCTCAAATCCAACACTTGTAGCGAATGAAGACCGCCGATGCTCACCGGAACCGAACCAGTAAACAAATTCCCACCAAGAATCAACGTTGTTAAGCTCTTCATTTGCCCTAAAAAGTCGGGTATCTGACCCAGAAACCGATTTTTTCCGAGATCAAGAGCTCTAAGAACCCCACATTTTGTCAGGCTCACGGGAATTTGACCGGTTAATGAGTTGTTCCCAACCCTAAATTCCTCCAAATTCACCAAATTCCCCAAATTATCCGGCAACACTCCGGAGATCGAATTCCCGGAAATATCTAGGGTTTTTAATGTTGAGAAATTCATGAAGAGATCTGGGAACATACCATTTATCTGATTCTCGTGAAGGTCTAAAACCTCCAGCACACTTTCACACGTTTGACCATGGTTATTCTCTATACCCGTGAGTGCGTTAAAACTCAAGTTAAGAATCCTAATTGTGGCATTAAATGCTGAGATGTTACAGAGTAATGATGACGAAACGACGCCGGTTAGCTGATTCTGCGGCAGCGAGATGACCTGGAGGAATCTGAGCGAACCGATCGTCGCCGGAACGACGCCGGACAGCATGTTATCCCCGGCGCTGACGTGGATGAGCGACGAGCAGTTCGAAATCGCGGAGGGAATCGTCCCGTAGAGTTGGTTGCCGTCGAGCCACAAGTACTGCAGCTGCTGCAGCGCTCCGATAGTCGCCGGGATCTCGCCGGAGAACCGGTTGAAAGAGAGATTGACGAGCTGGAACTGGTGAGCATCGGAAAAATTCGCCGGAATTTCTCCGGAGAACGCGTTGGAGGAGAGGTCGAGTATTCGCATACTCGCGGAAATGTCGCCGGGGATCTCTCCGGAGATGAGGTTATGAGCTAGGTTGAGCACTTGCAGATTCGTGAGGTTCGAGAAGAATGCAGGGGAAATCTCGCCGGCGAGTGAGTTGTACTGCAGGTAGACGGCGCGTAGGAGCGAGCACTCGGAGAGAGCGCGTGGGATGGAACCGTTCAAATTGTTGGAATGCAGGCTCAGCCTGCGCAGCTGTCGCAGGCTACCGAGGGTGTCGCTCAGCCGGCCGCCAAGCTGGAGGCGCGGCAGGCGGAGTTCTCGAACCCTGCCGGAGAAACACAAAATGCCGCGCCAGTCGCACGGCGCCGCCGGCGTGGACGCAGCCCAGCCGTCCATCACTCCACGGGGGTCGTAGAGATTCCGCTTGAAGGAGAGCAACGCCTGAATCTCGGAATCGTCGCCGGCGGCGCATGTAAAGGTGGCAATTAGGGCGGCGCAGAGCGCCAGAGAGAGGAGAATACTAGCCGTTGGCATGGGAAAATGTAGAAATAGAAAAATGGGGGCAAACTGGTGGGGATATATTACAAGGACTGCGCAGAATCAGATGGAGGAGCGTATTTTAGCAGGAGCTCCATATGTTGCGCCATTGTGCAGAGTGTGGTGTTGTTTTTATCTGGTTTGCCTTTTTTCCTTCTTCCCCAAATAATTATTATTTATTTAATTTATTTTTTCAAGAAAAGGAAAAATGAGTGAGATGAGAAACGCCTTTTCGCACTTTATTTATCCAGTCAAGGAGTTTTACATCATTAGTCCAACACTTTTAAATTTTGTATTAACATTATTTTATATATATATACCACTTAATTACACTAAATAAAAAATGTAATAATTTTATTTTTATTTTTTGAAATCAAAACATTTAATAATTAAAACAATAAATAAAGTAGTGTGGTTTGATTTAAAATTATACTTGGGCTTTTATAGGCCCATGTAAAATAATATTTTCTTTGAGGTCCAAAATGCGTAACTTATAAGTATGGTCTGGTGAAAACATACTTGTCATCGTAAATCTGTACATAATCCTATGCAATATATACATGTTGACGTGTAAAACATGTATTGAATGAGCGTAACGATCAAGTATTACAATCGAAACAAAGCCCATTCCCGGAGGTAGGGATGAGTTTCGGAAGTTAAGGAACCGAGAAGAAAGTATCTCAACATCAACCGGTTTCACTATAGTGAATTTCACTATTTGAACTAATATGCAAGAAAAATTGGTCCAATTAATTAGGTCCCCAAATGTTAATAAATAAGTCATATTAAAATTGTGAAGAATGCATGCCCTTTATATGAGCTGTGAATTATGACTGTCTATCAATTGGACCACTGTATACAGAGTCTACCCTTATATTCTGGGGGAGCTAATTACTTGAGACACTTACACCACTTGTACTATTATTGTTATTATTAAAATATTGCCCCCCTTATCTGTTAGTATTATCCCTATTTTTTTTCATTTAATTCCGCTAATATTTAATAGCACACTTGGAATAAAAACCCCATTTATATATCTCATATATGGGGATTTTAATTATATAACTAAACAATTTATTTTAATTGATTAACTTTCTGCAATATTAATAAAGAGAATATACAGCCCCATAGGGCTCGTTCGGTTCTCTATATCAGATTAGTTTTATATTGACTAATTAATTATTTAGTTAGTAAGATGTTCGATTGATTCAGCTACATTTTGTATGAATATGATGAATTTATGGTATTACATGTGAATTAGCTATAAATTCTTTTATTTAACAAAATTATATGCAGTTTGAAGGATGAAAATAGTGTTTTATTTGTTTAGTCACTTTCTATTAATTAAATTAGTCTCGGGGAGGAGGGGTGCTACTAATTTAATAAAATCGTAGTATTTACACAAATAATTAGTAATTGATTGGTATATTATATATTAATTTTTTATTTACAAATATTTATATATGGACATTAAAAAATAAATTATTATTTCCACCTTTTAGGTTTAGCTTTCTATTATAATTTATCCTATAAAATATTTTTCACAATATCAATCCCTAGTCCCTATTAAAGCTTATAATAAAAAATGTTTAAAGTTTTCAATCTATCAAATTTCTATGTATTTAAAGATTTTATTTTTTTAAAACACTTTTACTTATTCAACTAAATGTATACTATATTACAATTTATTTTACGTAAGTTTATGAATATTGTTTTGACAACAGTATCTATAACTTATTACTTATTTGTGTTGTTTTTTTTTTCATAAATATCCCTAAAAAATTTCGGGGACGCTGCCTCCGAACCCCCGCCATATTATTATTAACTCTTTAAAGTTTTCGGCCTTCCCTACCAAAAAATCCGGGTTCCACCCCTGTTCGTAGCGGACTTTAACTTTTGTAACAAGTTTGAGTAAATATGAATCTTGTAAACCGAAAACGTGTTACTTGTATCTACTATTTAGTCAGTAAAATTTTATAATAGTAACAGAACGAGTCCTAACTTTGTAAATATATAATCTAACTATAGGACTATACCATGGCATTATGTGTTTGAAATATATGTATTTTTCAGCAACTTTGTAAATAGCAAATCGGAATGGTTTGGCCTTTGAGCAGACCGCCAAGGAAATTAGGAGTTTTGGCAATGACGAAGTGCATGTTTTCTGAATTGTGCGAAGAAACAAAACTCTAACAAATTTTAAATAAAGACCCAATTTGGAGTAAGCAATTTTTTTTCTACCAACTAAATAATTAAGGGAAAATTAGTGAAAAAAAACTCCCTCATTTTGAAGTTGTATTGAGATAGTTCCATTATTTGGAAATAATTAGTGAAAAACCTTTCTTTATGTTTTTTTTTACGAAATTCTAGTTTACCTTATGTTTTTTCACAAAATTCTGGAGTAAAACAGACGTAAATCGACTACGTTGTTTACGTAATTGATTTATTAATCGATTATAGTTGATTAAAATATTAAAGGGGATATAAAACCTAAAAACAATAAATCGACTATAAGAAAAATATAGTTGATTACGTAAACTGTCACAAAACGATACTAAAATCGATACCAGAAAAGCTGGAGCGTATCAAATGGATTGGGAGAAGCTCTGTCACGCGATGTGTTGGTTGGGGACGTAGAGGAGGGTTGTCTCAATTTTCAGTGCTGGAGGTGTTTAATTTGATGTCCGAGCGGTGGTGTCTCGACGACGGCAGAGATGTTTTGATGTCTAGACTCCTCGACGGTGATGGATGTTTTTTATGTGCAGATGGCGCGCCTCGGCGCCAATGGAAGTATTTGGTCTAGACGGTGGTGCCTCGCCGACGATCATCGACGAAGAGTAGGTGATTCGGATCTAGAATAAAGATGAGTGAGTACGACTTTTATCTAATAAAGAAAATATGGGTAAACAATGAATTAGTCAATACAAAATTAATTCAACCAAATATAATCCTAAAACTAAATATTGAGAAGTGACTTGTGTACAAAATTGAGATTGCTTATTACAATCATGGGGTCCAATTTTTGAAATAATTGTCAAATAGGCTGATTTTTGCCCAAATAAGTGGATGCTATATTACATGTTTGGGCCACGTTGAACCCCACTTGCTTAGGCTTTATTCGGAACAAAAATATCCAATGTCTCATATATTTTTTTCCAAATAAACATCATATTTATAAACGGTTATAATATTTTTTTTCGAATATACTTTTGCTAATATATCTATTTTTTTAATTTATAAAAAAATATTTAAATTATGATTGTTTTTGGGCCTATTGATGAGTAGTTTAGCAGTCAATGATTTAAATACATGTCATGGCATATGGGCCTTTGTGAGAGTAATTGGGCTATAGCTTATGTGTGTGTGTAATTGTAACTAATTAAAAAGCCCAAATTGATATGAGAAGTAATTATTTAATTATTAACTACACAAACGTCATTTCCGAATTAATTATACCTTTATTAAGGTGATCCACTATTAAGCGTATTATTTCAAAAGTTGCATGTAATATTGGTTTCAAATTTCATTATAAAATGAAAATTTGGCATTGGTTAGTAATATTATACTAAGGCCAATCAAACATATCAAACTGGAGTAAAATGATATCGAAGTCTCGTTCATTAGTAATACATCAAAGTCAAATCAAACGTATCAATAGAAGCTGAAGTGATACTGGAGTCTCGTTGATTCCTGGCCGTAAGGTCAATCAAACCTATTAAACGAGAGTTAAATAATAGCAGAGTCTTTTTAATTAGTAATATATCAAGGTCAATCAAACTTATCAAACGAGGCTCAAGTTATGTTCGAGCATTTCTCTATGTGTTATAAGATCAATTAAAAAAGCAATAATTTGATTTAATTTTAATATTAAACTATGTAAAAAGTGTAAAACAAAAACTTAGATAAAAATATCTTAAAAAAAAAAAGATTTTGATTTTGATTTATTTTTCAATTGGTAGTGTTTAATGTTTATTATTATTATTATTATTATTATTATTATTATTATTAT